TTTTCAGCCAAAAAGCCTTACTATACATGGTCGTTTTTTTCGGCTAAAAATGCCTTACTATACATGGTCGTTTTTTTCAGCTAAAAACGCCTTACCATACATGGTCGTTTTTTTCAGCTAAAAACGCCTTACTATACATGGTCGTTTTTTTTCGGCTCAAAACGCCTTACTAGTCATGGTCGTTTGTTTCGGCTAAAAACGCTTTCCTATACATGGTCGTTTTTTTTCGGTTAAAAACGCTTTACTATACATAGTCGTTTTTTTTTTCGGCTAAAAATGCCTTACGATACATGGTCGTTTTTTGGGGGGCTAAAAACACCTTACTATACATGGTTCGCCTTACACCCAAAGTGAGCTGAGATAGCCCCCCTCCCTCTCCTTCAGGATAAGCAGTGACTTTTTTTTTTCCCTGTACTCATTTTCTTCTCCGCAAGAATAAAGACTTTTTTTTTTTTCTTCCTCTTTTGCCTTCCCACCTATTGCTTCTGCAGTCTGGCACTTTTGTATTCCAGTCTACTTCTGTCATCTTCTTGCTGAGTTTTTAACCCTCGTCCTCAAAAGAGGAACACATAATCAAGAGAGCTATGACTATTCTGATTTTATCTCTAGCATGTAATTTTTTTTTTAATGCTGTCAATCAAAACGTTCCTGTAAATGGCTCTTTCGAACAAGTGTGAATGGAGCTTACCTCAGTTCGGCGTCCTGTGCCTCTGTCGCGAGACAAATGATGTGATCAGTGTATCCAAGACCAGCAATTTTTTTTTTTTTTGGATACAACTTAGGTTTCATGTGCCCAAACCGGACTGGAAGATGGAATGAAATGAGGTCATGACATAACAATTTGATGCATCTTTTCAGTCATACAGCAAGTATTTATTTACTTCCTCTTCTCCCAGGTATGATGTCATCCTTAAAATTATATTGAGCCTCTTCCTTACTCCCACACTCAATGTAAGAAAATCAACATGATTGTTTTTTGTCCGCCATTATGCAAGACTGTGTTCATTTTGATCCGATATGTGATCGAGTCTTAACACTTAGGCGCGTTTGATCGTTCCATCAGCGATTGTTTTATCAGGCGTGCGGAAAGGCCGTAAACAAGCAGGCAGGTTTGCACTTATTAATCTTCAATCTTTTATATGACCTCGGTGGATGCGCCGCGCACCAGTCACGTTATGAACTTTGATGCTCAGTTGGGGAGGATGACACCAGATTAGAACGAGAACGCCGAGACAGCACAAATGGAACATCTACAATTTCAATTTAAAAAAAAAATAATCACGCAAAAACTTCTGCAAGCATGCAACTAAAATTGGAGTAAATTCCAACAAGGAGTGAAGGTTAAACCAATGTGCCATATTTATTAGAAGCAAAAACATTCAGTACAAACTCGATAACAACAGGACAACTCCAAACAAGAAAAGCCGAGTTACGAATATAAAACAATCGGAAGACGGCGAAACAGGAAGTGCGCGCGGAAGTCAATCCCACGTGATGTTGAGCATGCGACAGCTGAGCTCCCACAACTTCTGCGCCAACTCGTCATCCTTGCCCGCCGCCGAGCAGTTGGCGGCGGCGCAGTCACTGCGGCGAAGGAGCAAACAAGCGTGACTGAGCGGGCGCCCGAGCATTCCCACCCCTCCCGAGCTGGCGATTTGGTCGCTTGCTTACCTGTAATAGCCGCCGCTCTCCTGGTCCAGCGCGGGTTCCACGGCGCAGTAGATAGTGGTGCGCGCGCCCTGCGCCGACGTCTTGGTGAAGGGGCTGACTATCTTCATCACGAAGCGCTGAGGCCCGTTCAGGTGGCGCCACAGGTCCGTCTGGACCACGCCCGGGTGCAGCGAGTACGCCGTCACGCCCGTGCCTGGAGACCACATCGAGACACGGTCCGGTGGTCAAAACAAAACTTCGTCATCGTTTCAAATCAGGGATTCAAGCCTGGGTTAGGTTTTCAAGGTTCAGCTTTGACAGGGTTTAAAGTTTCAAATTACGTTTTAAACTGTGTTTGGGTTAAGCCAAAAACGTGCGCCGACCTTGCAAGCGTTTGGCGAGGGAGCGCGTGAAGAGGACGTTGGCCAGCTTGCTCTGCGCGTATGCTTTGTTCTTGTCGTAGGCGCGCTCGCTGTTGATGTCGTCCAAGTTTATGGAGCCCCAAGAGTGAGCCATGGAGGACACCGTCACAATGCGGGCGGGAGATGAACGCTTCAGGAGATCCAGCAGGAGGTACGTCAGCAGGAAGTGACCTGGGGAGGTGAGCGAATTGGGACAAATCAAAAAGGACACTCAGGGTGAAAATTTCAAATGACTCTTTCAAACAAGGGGTAGGGTTTCAAGGAGGGATAAAGGTTTTCAAGATAAGGTTTAAAACATATCCTAGAATTTAAAAATTAACAAATCAAGAATGGTTTAGGGGTTTAAAATAGGGCTTCAAGTCCAGGTTCAGGTTTAAAGGCTGGATTAGGGTTTCAAGGCAGAGCAAGGTTTTAAATTTGGCCTTGAAGCCCGGTGTAGTGTTTCCAAGTAGGGTTTACAGCCAGGATAAAGGTTTAAGACAGGGTTCAGGTTTCAAGATGGGATAAGTTTCTTGGGTTAATAAAAGCTAACAAGTAACAACACCTCGGTTAGCAAAAGCAAGCAGTCAGTGTTTGTGGCCACTTTTGTAAACTGGAGTGACCCGTGCGTCTTATCACACTAATAATAAACAAAAGCAATCAAATGTGACATAACAAATAATCAAGCGTGATGCAACGTGAAAGGTTATAAAAGTGGCCGTAAGACCTGAGTCATAAAAGCCGCATTTACCTTGGCCGTAATCTCCTCACGCTGTTGAACAACCTGACCACTTGGTAGCAGGATGCTAACCAATGCTAAAAGCATTCACTTGTTGTGAAGCGATTGCTTCAGTTGTTTTTCAACATTCCAAGAACTCACACACACTTCAGAATGTTGCCAATTTCACCTTTTTAAAAAAATCCCAAATTTAAGACATATTTTACATGTTGACTTCCTCTTTCCAAATTGCATGATTGCAACTGAAGTCTCACAGAGCACAATTCAGTACAGTAAATTGCACGGTATTGACACGCAATTAAAAAAATAAAGTAAATACTAGTTCACCCATGTGATTGACTCCAATCTGCATCTCAAAACCATCGGCAGTTTTGCTGTATGGACACACCATCACGCCAGCGTTGTTGATTAGGATGTTCAGTTTGGACTCCCCTAGAATGAAAAAAAAAAAAAAACATCACAGGAACGTTTGGCAGTGATAATTAAAGGGGATCCTGGGCGCATCTCTGAGGGACAACTCACCTTCATTGATGGCCTGCGCAAACTCTCGGATGGATTTGGTGTCAGCAAGGTCAAGTTTCATGCACACCACGTTTTCATTAAGGGACCGGTCTTTAACCTCTTTGATGGCCACCTGAGCTTTCTCCATGTCCCTGCATGCCATAATCACCTTGGCCCCTGCAAAACAGGACCACATTTTTGAAATCTCACAAATAACTAAATTGTAGTCAACTGCCATTCATTCAGCCGTTTTTATTATTATTATTTAATGGAAACTTTCAAAAACTTTGCACCTGTTAATGGTTTGTGATTGTAAATGATGAGGTAATTGAAATCAAGTGGAACTACTACACAAGCGCGCCCCCTAGTGACCGAATTGAGAAATGAACAGGTTGAATAATACAGCATTGTGGTTGAGTTACGTCACCGTGAGAGATGTTCCTAATATTCTGACCGGCAGAAGAAACCACTAAACTACAACGCCCAAAGCAAAAATTACAAAACAATGCTGACGGCTAATAAAACAATGTTGTTGTCAGCAAAATATTAGAAACCACGAAATAAACCAAACGCATTGAAAACAATGATAAAGGTCGTGCGTTTACGAATTCCGACCAAGTCGACGATTTTTTTAAAACCGTGAAGACAGCAGACAACAGTTGAAGTGGTGGATGTCAAGGCTAGATGGGCAAAAATGACTTAGACGCTCGCTAAATCACTTAAGGCAGTCATCAACTTTTTTCCCTACGTCATGGTTGCACTCACGTGATGGAGCTGCAACGCGTCAATATTTGATGAAGGGGTAACTAATATAATCAGTAAATGCATAACAAGAGCGACTCGGGATCCCACCCAAAGGAAATAATAATAATAATAATAATAATAATAAAAATCCGGCAGCATCCCAGGTGTGTTTGTTTTGCTCACACTGACCTCTGGTGGCCAGGTCGGCCGCCGCCTCCTTGCCGATGCCAGTGTTTGCCCCTGTAATGAGCACAGTTTTGCCCTCGAGCCTCACGTCGCTGGCCCAAGGAGCACGGAACAGGTTCCTGCCACATAATTGAGCAATCACGTCAGAGTGACTCAACCGGTAAAGTAGCTGTGGTGTCGCGGACAAGCAAACTAACAATCGTGATAAAACTTGTGCAAAAGGCCACAGAAAACTCCCAAGTACCAACTTTACGAGAAATCGTTTCATCGATTACTTTGTAGCTTGTCAATTAGACACAACAAGAAATTATGCAGAGGTTTAGCTCAAGTCGTCATTGATTTGCTAATGTCCTCACCTTATAGACTGCATGGTCCTTTCTGGAAGCCGGCAGGAAAAGAAACAACAACTAATTCGCAAAAACTCACGCAGAAAGTTATAAAAACGCCGTCATCAACTTTAAACGCCAAAACCCGCGACGGAGAAGTGGCGTCCTTACACTTGACCGACTCACAATTGAGCCAATTAGCGAGAGATTTAACGCCCTCGCTCACAGGCAATTGGTTAAGATCACGAGAGTCCGCCCACTTACTAGAGTGCGTTCCATTTAAGACTCACGCCGTGCCGACATGTTTTTTATTTGTTGAAAATGTTCGAAAAACGCTGAGACGTCATGGGTGTTTTAGTGAGCAGAAATCATTATCAAGTTTATAATGTACATTGTATTAATGCTCATAGTTACGTTTAACTTAGGGCTCGTTATTAAGCTTAGCAAAATTACTAGGTGGAGGCTAAATTGACTGACTGTCACTTAAACCAATCGACGGTGGGTGTAACACCCCTACCTGAATGTTGATTGGTTAAAAGGAATCACATGGGTCCTCCGCTCCCTCACAAGCCTGCGTTCAATTTCGGAAAAAAGTTAGGCCGAGAGCATTTTTCTTTGGAAATGTTTAAAATGCTTAACGGTTGGAGTTGTTCAGCATGTGAGGTGCGATTAAAATATTTTTATAACAAAATTTAAGGGCGATTTGTGATTTTTTTTATTATTTGTGAAGTAACCATCAAAATCCAAGCACCTAACAATGCGCGCATAGAACTGTCCAACAGGGGGCAGCAAATGCTGACAGAACAACTGTTATTTTTTGTTTTAACTCTCTGGAGGTTGTGTCCATTTAAACATTAACTGGGTCCGTGTTTTTTTGGCAATTGAATATTATATCCTCTCTCATTCATTAACAAAGGGTTACTAATAATTTTCTCCACATGTGTATAGTGACCTTTGATGGAATTTAAGATGGCAATGGCTCATTACCTACATCGTCTTCAGCCGCCACGCTGTTCCCATCTCATGGTCAAGACTAGAAATGCTGTCGGAAACAACTTCCGGGAATCCCCCAAATTAAACTGTTATTACTTTTCATACTCGTTCCAAACAACAAACGAGAAAATCACGCTGTACTTCAGTTTTGCTGTTTCGATAATAACGATGATTCTTTATTTTTAATATCTGTTTCAAAACCAAAAGAGAGACTGGCCGTTGAGGCCTCTGTTTCTCTCTGGCTAATCAGCCTTAGAATGGAAGCTAAATTTAGCCTGTTGCTTTATTTACACTTTGAATTATGATTGTGTATTTATTTTTTCCCTGATTTGTTGTGCTTGGGCATTGTTTCAATGACCTACTGGAGGATTTTGCACACAAGGTCACAAGAACAGGAAACTCAGCAGCTGATTGCGCGTCAGCAAACACGGACTTCCCATTTTTTTGCTTAATCAGTCAGAAAAGGAGTGTTTGAGTATGTGTGGGAGTATGCGTGTGTGTGTGTGTGTGTGCGTGGAAGAGTAAAGTCCGGCATTGTGAAATACACTTGGAACGATTCTGTCAACGTGTGTGAACTGTTGAACAAATGAGGAAAACATGAATGTGAAATGAAACTCAAAGAATGACCATAATAGACTATCAGGAGAAAATTAGATCAATTTCATGGAACGCAGACTTGAATTTAAGTTGCATTTCAAAGTGAGTAAAGATTCAACTTGAACAGGGGATCATATTGTTCGTGTCCATCCATGCATGCATGATGATGATGATGATGATGATGATGATGATGACTTGATTCTTTAGGAAGGATGTTTGGGTCACCTGTAAAAAGAATCAGACTTTATTTGACCCCGAGCAGTGGCGCCACATTTTCAAATTCCCAGAGGCCCCAAAACAATGGGGCGGAGGGAGGATGCGCTGAATAAACCATGAGAACAATCCATTACCTATAACTAGAGCGCCGCAGTTGCTCGATAGGACGCACATTCTCTTATTTTGGCACAGACGGGAAGTCAACACAAACAAACAAACGACATCCTGCGTAGGTGGAACTGGAACAAACACGTTCCATATGACTTGCAAGTGTACGTACGGTGAAGTGCAAGTGGAAGGTTTCCACGTACAAAACCGACAAAATCAGATCAGATACTTGTTGAAAGTTGTTAAGTGTATGCCACAACACTAGGTGGTGCTCTAAGCCCTAACGCTATCTTCAATTGTGAGCCCAAGACTGGAATTGCTCATCTGAATACTGTGTCAAGAAAAAATTGTGAGTGCGAATGGTTGTTTGTCTCTGTGTGCCCTGCGATTGGCTAGCAACCAGTTCAGGGTGTACCCCGCCTACGGCCCGAGGACAGCCGGGATAGGCTCCAGCACGCCCGCGAGTCTTGTAAGGAAAAAGTAGGTTAGAAAATAGATGGATGGATACTGTTACCTCAAATATGACTACTACAATTACTACTACTCCGAGTAATAATAACAACAACAACCAATCCATAACAAATGTACATTTAAAAACATTTTTTTTTAAATCACAATTACATTTAAATGAAATCCATACTACGATTACAAAACAATTACTACTGCGGCTGTTGCTACGACTAATATCAACAAGTCAGGTCAGTAAAAAGCAAATAAATACAATTTAAGAAGGCCTCACAATATGCCGAGAAAAAAAAAAAAAGCTTCTGAGAGTATCTTGCCACGGAGGTCACGCACGAGTCAATCTTGTAGAAGAACAGGAAAGTACGAGACATGTTTACATTACAACCAAAATCCTTTCAAGGTCGCGTCTCTCTTGGGCCAAATGATAAACATCGTCATTATCATCATCCGTTGCCACCTTTCATGCTACACTTAACGTCAGTCGGGCGGTTGGCGCCCAGTGTGTGTGCGCGCGTGTGAAACACAACACACGCTCGCACACACACACAAACCAATGTCCTTCTGATCACAATCATTCACGCACACACACATTATCTTCCGTCTGCAAGCAAACTCACATTTTAGCGGTGAAATTCTCCCAAGTTGGACGTGTGTCGTAGCCGGCCACATTTTCCCAGGCAAGACGAATGTTGAATGTGGAATGTTTCTTCCCTGGATACTCATAAAGGTTATTTATGTGGGCTTGTGATATTATCAGCTGCTAAAGTGCTTGATCCAAGATTCACTTCAATACAATTTTCTAAATATTACGTTACACTTTCCCGAAAGAAAAAAAAACAACGAAAGTTTTTTTTTTTAATGCATTGTGAAATACAGTCATGATATTTGCAAACAAGTGAGCACAAAACGCGTTTAACGAGCATGTTGTTCGTCCTTCATTTTCTTCTGTGGTCTCAATTGGCAGTTCGCGAAGCACTCCATTGGTACATTAGCGCCCCCAACTGGTAGCACCCCTCCCACGCAAGAATACAATGTTGGTTGACGGCGGCCAGATGTTGCGAATTTCGTGGCGCCACCCAGCGGTGGCATCTGACGTGCAGTGACGTCATAAACGTGGATTCCCAGTTCTTTAAACAATGATTTTAAAATTGAAGGAAAAAAATCGCAATGTGGATAAAACGTACGAGTGTGTTAGCTATTTTTTTTCTTGATGTCATTCAGGTAACGGTACAAAACTGAAGTGTTTCCTAAAAACGTTACAAATGGACCGAGGCAACTCTGTAATGAGGTGAACGAAATGATCCATTTGATTCTGTTTTATTTCCATCTGGAGAGGAAACAGGTGCTCTTGGTAGAGCGGCACGGGGGCCTGCATTCAGTCACTTTGGACTGCTGGCTGAGCAACTCCAGAACTGTCTCGCGTATAAAATGTGTTTCCGTCTTCAAAATCTTCAAAAATGTCATCATTGTATCCGCTATATGATCGTCAGTATGATTATATATTCATTTTATATTGTATTAGATTTTTATTTCTAAATTATTTTGTTTGGGGGTTTTATTTATATTCAACTTTGACAAGGTTTCATGATTACATTGAAATTATTTTAGCATCATTTACTTTATATCAAGAAGCTCCTTAATAATATACCCATGCAATGCACTGTTTTCACTATACATCTATTATTTTTATATGACTCTTTTTTCATTTAAAAAATATATATATTTTTTAAATATACCAACGATAATGTGGAAAAATATTTAAAATATCAAAAATAGGTTTTAAAATGTTTCACAATAGTAAAAAAACAAAATTTTTTTTTTTGATAGATTCTATTTTTACGACAGCCTTTGCAATAAATACCCTTTCAAGATCGTCAACACTGCAAAACTTTTCCGGGACTGACTCACAATCCTCTTCAAGCTCAAAGTGAAGCATTTGCTGTTCTTTTGGAAAGGCGCGTAAATAAGAGTCCCGATTGAACTTCAATTGCCCGGAACGCAATTAGGGTGTGTAACCACATCATGTCCACACATCCTTTATGTTTATTTGTTCGTGTCCTTACTGTACACTCTGTGTGTTTCCGTGTCTTTGTGTGCAGTTCCAAAGAGAGAATTTAAGGTGAAGACGAGCCCGACGTTGATAAATGGACACTTGGCTAGCGAAAACAACCAGCGGTCCAATTCTGGATGTCTCGCTTCTCAAATTTGAAAGGACTTTAATTCACGTGTAATCACCGTGAAGGCATTCAAGGGAGTTGTCGTGAGTCGTAGCTCCCTTCAGAAGTTTTATTTTATGGATGAAAAAGGGCAACCTTGAGTGTCAAACCTCTGGACACAGTGTGTTTGCGGGAGTAATTGTTTCTCAAAACTAACACCCAAACCATTCCTCGAGCTGTTATGTAAGACTTGAAACGGCCCCCATATCTATTCAGCGCTGCTAAAACGCTCACGAATGAACTTGTGAGAAGATGCTACATTTGGTCGTAATAGTCTTGGTGGGGGGGGGGGGGTCGTAATTTGCAATGGATCATACTGAGCACCGTTCCAAATTGAAGTTGAAGCATACAATGACAAGAATTACACCAAGTGTATTTAACTGAACTACAAAACTTAAAAAAGTGCGCTAGCACAATGCTAATGCCAAAGCCTTTGAAACTCGGGTCGATTCTGCATTCGTCTTATAACTTTACACGCGGACATTTCAAACAAAACACAGAGTTGTACAAACAATGTCATTTCATTTGATGAAAGTCCGCTAGCTTAATGCTAATATATCAGCCAATCGCCATCGACAGGCTATTAGCATAAAAACTCATAC